GACATGATGTCAATTTGCTCCACCTTCACAGGGTTTCAAGGATTACCCTGACGATCCGCTTTGGTACAGGGTGCAGACGACACTATTGAGGGTATACCAGAGGCTGGGCTCTGGAGTCGCATACTGGCAGTGGCATTGTAAGTGGAGCCTGTTTGAGTTGTGGGCGAAACGCGCGTCAGGGGCTCCCAGGGACCTAGAGTAATTTCGAACTTTGAACCATTATTACTACTATACATTACCAAGACAATTTTTCTATCTCGGTCCCTGAGTATACATTTTGCCATTTATGCACCGTATGGCAATCTTGGGGTTTTTTACCATTAGGTGATAAGTGACTTTTAGGAGCACCTTCCTCATGATAGGTTTCACAACTGAGACATAACACTCCTCTATTTGCTCCCACTGCAATTACGGCTAAGTTCTCTCTTCACAGAGGCAGCTTACACATTTGAGCACGATTAGCTTCTCTAAAAAGTGTTACATTATATCTCAGAGGCAGCTTACTCATTTGAGCACGATTAGCGGATCTAAAAAGTGTTACATTATATCTCACTTATGATTTGTCCTTTTGTATAACACAATAATTTATTTTGTAACACCTTTACAGCAACAATATTATCCTTGTTCTCTGTGATTGCAAAACTTTGTTTTGCTAACTCATTTTGGGATTGGATTTCTGAAAACTTTAGAACAGATCCTCCCAATTATACTATTTACCGTTTTTAGCTTTGAGTCATTACATGGTATCTTTGATATATTACATATATCTTTTTACTGGTTATTTGCCCCTATCACAGTATTTCTGGGGCAATTTCCATCAGTCAGATATATTACTCTAGGGACCTTAATGCATATCAATTAAACTGTGAACAGCTTTCTCTCCCTGCACCCTGATTCCTCTCCTGCAACTATCCTCAAACAAAACACTAAATCCTCAGTGAATACTATCTTAGAAACCTACTTTTCTACTATATTCTTACCTTTTGTATCACTATACCCCACTCCATCTAGCATGTAAGCTCATTGAACCGTGTCCTCAATCTCTCTGTTCCTGTGTGTCCAACTTGTCTGGTTACATATATGTGTCTGTTAGTCCACTCATTTTACAGCATTTATAAATGATAATAATCATAATAAGATCATATACACCACAAACCTGACAACATTTTTACAAAGTGTGAGCTCCATGGGGGACTTTGTTGAAATAATAATTGCTTATGGGGAGGGGGATCTGCAGCAATTCTGCATGTACAATCTTATTCCTGACACTTAGGTATACTTCGTCATGCCTCCCAACAGTCTGCACTAAGTGGGGAATGACCACTAAGGATTTTGGGAGAGGGGGGGAGATGGAGGACCACTAATGGCGGTGGCGGGAGAGGATTACCACTAAGGGGGGGGGATAGAGAAGACCCCCAAGGGGGGACTGCAGAGGGACAGGGGGCCTAGGGAGAGCACTAAAGGACAGAAGGGGAGATCACTAATTGACAGGAGAGCACTGTAAAAAAATAAAGAGCTGCTCCCCTCTCAGTCCCTATCATACCCCACAAACCCTCTCTTTTACACTACACACATATACAATGCATCCCTACTCATACACAGACACACCAAAACAAACAATGCATCCCTTACGTGCACACACACACTGATTCTCTTACACACACAGAAACAAAAAGGCATCTCTTACACACACTCAATGCACCCCTTACAGACACACACTGCATTAAATTACATACACAGAAACACACCCCCAGAAACATACAATGTATTCCTTACACACAAACACACACTGCATCCCCTATACTCCCACACTACATCCTTTACACAAATTGGTATCCCTATACACTAAGAACACACACACACACACACACACATTACATCTACAATAACACATAACACATCCCCTACACACATTCATGTCACTCCCTGTGAGAGAACTCATGGGTGGGCCATGTAGGTGGATTTATGGGTGGGCCTTGTAGGCATACTCACGGTCAGGCCCTGAGCTGCTTCCTGTCCGTTAATTGTTGTGAGTACTGATACAAACAGTCTCCAGAGAGCCTCTTCTACACCAGAACTGTGGTGCCAGACTGTAGCCTGAGCCCATCATCATCCTCTTGTCTTCATCTGGTGGTAAGTAGGCAATCCAATCTATTATTAGTGGCACTAATCTCTAATTTACCTCACATTAAAGGGCCCCTATAGTCACCAAAAGCACTACTGCTTAATGTAGGGCTTCTGGTGTCTATAGCCTGTGCCTGTAGGCTTTTTAATGTAAACACACTGCCTTTTCAGATAAAAGACACTTTGTGCAGAACTGGCAGGGCATTGTGATATCACATGGTTGGAGAGACATATGGGGGTGTTGTTAGTTATTTGTTAGTACTGTTTTTGATCTGTGCCTATAATTGTATTTTATTTCCTTAATGCACTATGTAGAGTTGAGCCAACCCGAACCACAAAGTTCAGATTCGTACCGAACATTACGGTTTTTGGACCCCGGACCTGAATGTTTGGGTTGGAGTTCGGTGTTCGGCGATTTAATGGCACGTTTTGAAAGGCTGCAGGGAAGCCAATCAATAGTGTTTGACTTTTTTGCCCTTAGAAACCATCACAGCCATGCCTACTAATGGCATGGCTGTGAATAGCCAGTGCAGCATGTGACCCAGCCTCTATATATAAGCTGGAGTTCCGTCGCGCTGCACGCACATGAGCTCTTATTAGTGTAGGGAGAGGATGCTGCAGCTGTTAGGGACAGATTAGGAAAGAATTCTGGTGTTGAATCTGCAAACTACAGTGATTACTTTAGTGGGTGCTATACTACATTTTTGTACCCTGCCCTGAGCCCAGTGCCACGCAGAGTGCAGTGCACTTGCAACTGCATGTGTGCCAGGCACATTACTTTAATCCTGTTCTGGTAGCTCATTGGGCAACATGTAGGCATTTTTAAATACTGCAATTTATTGGGTGCTAAATAGAGATGTCGCTAACCGTCCGCGAACTTCTCGCGAACGGTTCACCACGAACCGTTCGCGGCGAACTCCAGTCAGCTGACACATCCCGACCAATCTCCGGCAGACCCTCCCTCCCAGACCCTCCTACTTCCTGGACAGCATCCATGTTGAAGGTAGCTTCAACATGGATGCTGTCCAGGAGGTGGGAGGGTCTGGGAGGGAGGGTCTGCCGGAGATTGGCCGGGATGTGTCAGCTGACCGAAGTTCGCCACGAACGGTTCGTGGCGAACCGTTCACGAGAAGTTCGCGGACGGTTCGCGACATCTCTAGTGCTAAATAGTACATTTGCGTACTGCATTTTCTTGAAGTCTAATAAAACCCTTAAATTTAAACCCTTAAATTTGCATCCTGCGCTACTCTTCATATCTGAGAGTCAAAGAACCATCAAACACTGTGCTTACAGAGCACTTTGAAAAATTAAAATAGTTTTGGGTGCTAAATAGTACATTTGCGTCATGCGGTGCACTTCATATCTGATAAAATAGAAAGGTGAACAGCGCTAAAAATCAGAAAATGTACATACGTTTTGTAGAAATACTGGCCAGCAGAGTAACTTAAAAAAAGTGAGAAACAAAAATACAAATAATGGTACAGTATGTATGAACGATATAATTCCACAAGAACAAAGGTGTTATAGCTCCTCAAAGTGTGAGTGTGAATATATCAGCTCGGTGTTAAGAGCCTGGACGGAATAATCCCCGTCTATGGATTTCTTTTGCATTTGACACTTCATATCTGAGAGTCAAATAGAACCGTCAAACACTGTGCTTACAGTGCACTTTGAAAAATTCTAATAGTTTTGGGTGATAAAAAGTAAATTTGCGGCCTGCACTTCATATCCGACAGTCAAATAAAAGCATCAAATACTGTGGTTACAGTGCAGTTTGACCAATTCAAAAAAAATGTTGGGTGCTAAATAGTACATTTGCGGCCTGCACTTCATATCTGACAGTCAAATAGAACCGTCAAATACCAATATAACAATATCGTAATTCGGGGGCAATACCCTCACAAGTCAAACTGAGAGGTCAGTTTATAGGGAAAACTGTTGCCTGGATGCAATTCTAAAACAATTCCCATTTGTCCTTTGCAGAGTTTACATGCTGAAAAACACAGGTTCCAACTACTGTGGCTTTCTGCAGTGTGCAGACCGGCAAGGAGGGCAGGGTTGAGGAGTGGGTGGAAGATGATGTGGAGGATGATGAGGTCCTAGACCCCACATGGAATCAAGGTCATGCGAGTGACATGTGCAGTTTGGAAGAAGAGGCACTGTTTGCACAGAGGCACCAGCACAGCATAAGAGGGAGCAGGGTGCAAAAGCGGAGCGGCGTCCCCTAGCGCTCGTCGGCATGTATTATCTTTAGAATTCCCACAGTTATCCAAGTAACAGATGGAGCGATAAAAGGAACCATAACAGTTTCGCAGTTCAGTGACCAGGTCCCAGACACTGTCTGGGTGGCGGTCGGACTGGGACCCAGTATGCCTGATGTTGAAGTTAGGAGTCACAGTGTGGAATGTATTAGCAGGGTCTGGTGCAGGGTAACCACATGCCCCCTGGTGTTGAGCACCAGCGTTTGTGAGGCCACATACCAGGACCCTGATGCAGCTTCAGTAAAAAGAGTACTGGATACCAGAAGCCATCACCAGACTGATCCGCAACTTGGAACAGGGTGTCACAGTCACTGTAGCGGCTGTGCGCGTTTTTAATGTTATCCCCCTGCTGCTGCTTGCCTGTCTGCGCTGCAGCGTAACTTTGGCCTTCCCGCTCACCGCCTCATATGCGACATGCCTACAAGGTGGAACTCCACCTTGCACATGCTGGAGAGACTGTGCGAGCAGCAGCAGGCAATAGTGGAGTTTCAGCTGCAGCACGCACGGGTCAGTCGCTCTGCTCCAGACTTGACCTCCAATTGATTATAGTTAAAGGATTTCAAGTGGACTCATTACAATTACAGGGCCTCTAAAGAGTCCTGTATTGTTATTTGTCTTCACTACCTCCCCGCGCTGGGAGTGGGTAATTTGCGCGCCTGCTGCCTTCCTTGGATGTGGTAGCCATTTCTCAGGCATCGAAAGTTGATAGGGCAGACATCCGAATGCAAAGTCGCGGTCACGGGGACGTGACATTGGCCCAAGGTTCTCTAGAGTCACCAAACTGAATATGCAACTATAATGTCGACAGCTACTCTGCCGAACGGATCTTCACTAATAGGTAGGGGATGGAGGGGGGCCCTGTGCCGGTCCCTTCTCTTCCCCACTCTCTGGCAGACATCTAGCAGTACTGCCTCAGATCCTGAGAGATGTGATATCACATGGTTGGAGGGCCATATGGGGGTGGTGTTAGTTATTTGTTAGTACTGTTTTTGATCTGTGCCTATAATTGTATTTTATTTCCTTAATGCACTATGTAGAGTTGAGCCAACCTGAACCACAAGCCAGAAGAAGCTGTGGGTGAGCCGAGACGCTGTCCAGCTCCTGCCCAAATGCCCTGCCAAGGGGATATCGTGAGCTAGCTTCAGCAGCTCTTACCAATACTTCTTGGGGCTGGTGATCTCTCACCAGCCGTGTAGTTGGGGAGCCCCTTGAAAAAGTGCTCTAGCATGACGAGCTGGGTAATCTCCTCCGGGAACTTGGCTTGATGGGAGTTGAGCCAGTTCTGGGTGGCCCTTGTGATGTGGCATGCCCACTGCGCATGGGAGTCCTTCTCCCCTTTCTAGGTCTCCCTAAACTTTTGGCGGTATTGCTCGGGGGTGACCGCATACCGGGCCAGGAGGATTTGTGTAATAAAGGGATAGTCTCTGATCTGCTCTTCTGGTACAGCCCGGTAAATATCCGCTGCCTTCCCTACTAGTTTGCTGGCCAGGATGGTGACACAGTCGCTGGGGTCCACGTCTTGGAGTAGGCACTGGCGCTCAAAGTCTTGTAAAAAGTAATCGATGCCTTCTTCTGCTTCCTTGAACTCTTTGAAGGCATTGTATGGTAGCTTGTGGGCCAGGGTGGTTGTGCTTCCCGGCACCCTCTACTCCCTTCTTCCTTTATCTGGGTTCATGGAGGTCGCCCTCTGTCTATTGGCAAGGTCCTGCTGACAATCTCCTCTGAGGGTGGCTCTCGGAAATATGCCAGGTGCCGTTCCACCTCCTTGCGCACTTCCTCCTCATCTCCGGCCCCTGGCTGGGGTTCATTGCCTCACTGCATGCCTGGTCGTCCTCCATCAGTGCATCAGTCAATTCGGTTTTGTTACGCCCACCAGGCGTTATTCCTCTGGCTCCACACAAGTCCTGCAGTGTAGGTCACTTTAGAGCACTGTAGTCCATGGGTCTGTTGGCAGGGACATGGGATCTCGCAGCTTGCCACCAATTAAAGCGGGACTTGGGTAACCGATGGTTATGCCCTTTGATTAGAATAGGTCAGACCCATTTCGCCAGTAACCGGATGGGACACAGTTCCAGGATACAACGTTTGACAATCTTTATTTGGGTACACAGCTTTGCCTCCTGTTGCCTCCTCCTCCTACTCCGCTTCCTCCTCCTCTACCACCTCCTCATCCGGTCAGTGTAACACCTTCACCACCAACTTCAGCACAGCCAGGGGGAAACGACAGCAGGCTGTTTTCAAACTCATATGTTTGGGGGGAAAACCCCACACCGCGCAGGAGATGTGGACGGGCATGGAACAACAGACCAATGAGTGGTTGTTGCAACTGAGCCACAAGCCCGGCCTGGTGGTGTGCGATAATGGGCAAAATCTCGTAGCAGCTCTGGGCCTAGCCAGTTTGACGCACATCCCTTGCCTGGCGCATGTGCTGAATTTGGTGGTGCAGAAATTCCTGAAAAACTACCCATACATATCAGAGCTGCTGCAGAAAGCACGTGCCATCTGTGCATGCTTTCGGGCCTTCTCACCCTGCTGCTGCTCGCCTGTCTGTGCTGCAGCGTAACTTCGGCCGCCTCATATGCGACGCGCCCACAAGGTGGAACTCCACCTTGCACATGCTGGAGAGACTGTGCGAGCAGCAATAGGAGATAGTGGAGTTTCAGCTGCAGCACGCACGGGTCAGTCTCTCTGCGGAACAGCACCACTTCACCACCAATGAGTGAGTCTCCATGCGAGACCTGTGTGCCATGTTGCGCTGTTTCGAGTACTCCACCAACATGGCCAGTGCCAATGACGCCGTTCTGAGCCTAACTATCCCGCTTCTATGTCTCATTGAAAAAAACGCTTCGGGCGATGATGAAAGAGGATGTGGCACAGGAGGAAGAGGAGGAGGAAGAGGGGTCATTTCCACGGTTATCAGGCCAGTCATTCACAAGTGGCTTGGAGGGCGGGTTCCTGCACCAGCATAGGCCAGGTACACAATTGTCCAGCATCTCCACACTGTCCCATGGAAGCGTTCAGCTGTCCATCTTCCAAACACTGGAGAGAAAGAGGAAGTAACCCCCTAGCCACCCGCAATCCCTGGCCCTGAATGCCAGCGTTTCAAAATTTGTGGTCTTTGAAATGCTGTCATTCCGTCTGGTGGAGACGGACAGTTTTAAAAACCTGATAGCGTTATTGAACTGCAAGAAAAGAACCGCAGGCCGCAAATGTTTCTTTTTTTTTATATGTCCCAATATTTTGGGGGCTACCCCAATTTAAAAAACAAACCAAAAAAAAAACACAATCCAATAAAAAACAGTGTTGGCTACCTCCTCCTCCTCCACCGCTGCTTCCATCTACACCGCCACGGTCACCGCCTCCTCACCCTATGGATAACTTAGTATAAACTATATACACAATAGCAGAGGCTTGTGAATGCCTTTTCTCCATGCATCAGGAGTTGAGCGTTTCTCCATGCATCAGGACTGAAAAGAAATGCACCGCAGGCTGCAAATGTTTCTTTTTTTTTTTGTCCAAATATTTTGGGGGCTACCCCAATAAAAAAATAACAAACAGTGTTGGCTACCTCCTCCACCGCCGCTTCCACCTACACCACCACGGTAACCGCCTCCTCAACCTATGGGTCACTTAGTATAAACTATATACAATAGCAGAGGCTTGTGAAGGCAGAGGCTTCTCCATGCATCAGGAGTTGAGCTCAGTTTGAACAATAAAAGAGAACACCCTGCACTCCAATCCTCTCTCAAATGGATAATTCTGGTGATCCTCCTGACAGCCTGACAGATTTTGATTTATGTTCTTCCAAAGCTAAAATCAAAGATTCCATCTAGTGCTATTTTATGGCTAAGCTGTAGTTTTAATTTTTATGTATTTTATGTTATGTTAAGTGATTTCCCTATCCACATTTGTTTGCAGGGCACTTGTCCTACTCTTACCCCCATTTTGCTTCCTTTTGCAGCCTTCTCCAGGACTTTTTAGAGCCATTTTTGCGCCCAAATGTTCGGGTTCCCATTGACTTCAATGGGGTTCAGGTTCGGGGTCAAATTTGGGGTCAAGTTCAAGCCCGAACCCGGATTTTTTTTCGAAGTTTGGCCGAACCTGAACATCCAGGTGTCTGCTCAACTCTATTACTAAGCAGTACTTTATACACTATTTTACACTTGTTTCCTATAAAATTCAATAATGTTTGTATTGTAAAAAATAACCTTCGTGTGAAGGCAATTCTTCTGAGATTTATTTAAATCCTTGGCTTTCACCAGCAAATATGTCATGGTTATTTTATGCATTTTATGTTGTATGCCTATAAAAAAGAAATATACCAAAGCTTTTAGAGTTAAATACTAAAATGACTTTTCAAATGATACATCTCATTGAAATGCACAACATAAAATTTAATACCATACATTTATTTACAGAAGTAGAACATTTCTTATTTATCTTTTTCTTTACAGCTATAAGTTTCTGTTCTAAATATACAAACTGCTGACTTAATGTTTCAAACCATCAAGAAGGAATATAATAGACAACCAGAACAAACAGGAAAGGTCTTGAATTAAACTAATAGCTTCCAAAGGCTGTTTCATTGAAAAAGTCCACATGCAATATATGAAATGCATTATAATTATGCACTCTGCATTTCTACTTACATCTACGGATATTTAGGGATATCCTTTGATTTGATAGAGAGGATTACATGGAATTAGTATAATAATGTATTCTGTAATTATCTATGTTATAGTACATTTAGCTTGGTACTTTTAGGTTATATAGGATACTTCAAGAACCTAGAAATACAAATGGTGCCACATAGTGCAAATCTTAAATAGATAAAATTGTATAGAAGCAAGGTTTATGAATGGAACACTCACAAACAGGGAGCTATAAAACCTAGCTCCGGTGTGGATAGCCTCTGGGTCCGTTTAGGCAACCCGCCCCTATGGAGAGTATATGTCCCATCCTAAGAAAAAGTATATAGACATACAATAGGGTAGTACAGTATGGAACAAGGTTATAAGATCTAATGCCAAATCGGTACTTACAAACACAGAGCCCCTGTGGCTTAGTAGTAGCGTATTGTGTAGATGAAAGGCTACACACCCCCTTTTAAATGGATGTCTCATAAAGCTGGGAACCAGAATAAAATGTTGCATACATTTATTAAAGCATATAAAAAAACAAATAAATGAAGCAAGGAGCAATGTCCATAAAAGTACCGGTACACGTTTCACCACTTAATGAAGCTTCCTCAGCTGGATACATGTTGTGTGAATCCTTAGTTCCCCGACTTGTGTTAACAAACTTGTTTTCCTGGCACTACGTAGTCCTTAGGTCGCCCCTACCCTCATGGCCCCCCTTCAGCCACTTACCACTATCCAGCGCTGGTGACCTCTCCCCCCACTCCGATGTTGGCTCCCGAGTGGAGCCGAATGCGCATGCACGGCCAGAGCCGTGCGCGCATTAAAAACACCCATAGGAAAGCATTACTCAATGCTTTCCTATGGATGTCATTGTCTTCTCACTGTGACTTTCACATTGAGAATCACGGAAGCGACCACTAGTGCCTGTCAGTTTCTCCCAAACTGCTATGTTTTCAGCTGCAGGGTTAAAACTAGAGGGACCTGGCACCCAGAACACTTCATTGAGCTGAAGTGGGCTGGGTGCCTATAGCGGTCCTTTAAGGAGGGTAAAACTATACCTATCAAATAGTTTATTACTTGTTATTCTAAAAACACAATTTAACTTTTAAAATGCCCTTGTGG